AGATTTTGTTGTTTCTAAATCTAATAAAACAACAACGTCGTCTACGAAAAGAGCGATGCATAATAGTAATGATTCAATGATTTATCCTACGGATACAAATTTCACTCACGCGGATATTAAATTATTACAAAATAAAATAACTAGCCTTCGAGATTATCCACCTCGTAAAGAAGAATATTCTATTACCGATCATATAAAGAATTTAAAAGATAAAGATATAACGTCCAATTATAGTGTGCCTTGTAATGATCCTGATAAGAAGAATAATATGACTTTGTCTAACAGTGATAATTCCCTTACTAATTTAGTTTATCAAGAACAAGAAAATTGGTGGCAAATGGAGAAGAAACAGTTGACTGAAAGGTGTTTAGAATTAGAAAAAAGTCTTGATTTATTGAAAGCCGAATACGAAGAATGTGAAGAATATTGGGCTGCTAAGTTAGAGGAGGAGAGACAGTTGTTCGAACAAGAACAAAAAATAAGCGATGAAAAATTTTCAGAACTTATTGCCAAAATGGCAGAATATGAAGAATTAATTAGTCCGGTAGATAAAGTTAAAAATGGTGGTCGTTTATCTCCCATAGAAGAAAAATATAATTTGGAACAGCAGGTAATTTTTTTATCTTTTTCATTATTTATCTTTCAAAATAATATAATTGAAAATTTTAATTTAAAATTAAAATATATTCTTTGCAAATATAGTATTTAGATTTGGAAGAAGAATTCGACCAATGGAAAATTCAAATGGAAAAGGATATTTCGGAGAAGAATAAAGAAATTAAAAGTTTATTTGAAAAATTGAAAAAAATGGAAAAAATAAAAAAAATGGACAATTCGACCCAAGTGTCAGATGACATTTTCCAACCTGTCTGCACTTTTTGCGATCATATTCCCCCCATGGATGCATTTAACGTCGAATCATATACACAATTGCAATCGAAGACGTTCAAATATGATGGGGATACATGTAATAATGTTACAGATAGATTCAAAGGGGATCACATATTTAAAAATCCAATGCCTTCTAATCATTTCACGTCGCAAGTTACAAAGGAAGATAGCGTAGGAAATTATCACTTAGATCAATTATCGTGTATTAAACAGGATACAAATAGTATAGATAAATGTGAGAAATCTGAATCAGAAGATAAAGGATTGAATAATATTTCTGAACATACGTTTATAGAAAAAGAAGGAAAGAGAAGTAAATCGAAGCATAATACATCAAACAAAGATTATTCATTGATACAGGAATTAATTAAATCGCAAATTTCAAACGGCATACATTGTCAATGTTTGCAAGATACTGCGCAGAAACAAGTATGTAATATCGACATTAATATATTGGAAAGTTTGACTATGAAATTACAGATTCAAGAACGTAAGAAACGCCAATTAGAAGAATACTTTAGACAACAACAGCATCATATAGAACAAGTATTGCATCGTAAGTTATTATTGACATTTTTATTAATATAATATTTCTCAACTTGATTGGATTTATTTAGAAATATGTATTTTCATTTTGTTTGAATTATAGAAACTTTGTCGCAGCATCAAATAGAGGTATGTGAATTACGGTGTCTTCTTTATAATACTCAAGAAAAATTACAAGTCCAAATTCAAGCTAATACCGAACAGGTACGTTCTTTTATTCATATTAACTTTTTATTTTGTTATGTTGTTTATTAAATAGTGATAATGTGTAATTAAAAATGATTTATATTTCTATAGGCTAAAAGATTAGCCGGAGCTGATATACTAGCAAAGGATTTGTTTATAGAAAATGCATATCTAATAGAAAATTTAAAGAGACTCAAGCAACATTGTTTATTATCAGGAGTTAATTGTGAATCTACTTCGATATGATACTTCTGTTATCTACAACTATGATGATGTTATCTATATAACAATGATGCATCACTCAGGGATAGGTAGATTTAGGAAGTATTAAAAGAGCAATACGCATGTAAGAATAATATAATACAATACGGTATACTTAGCTGTTAAACAATATTCTGTACCATGTACAGAGATTGCATATAAAATTTATAATGCACGGGTTAAAATTATTCAATGAAAGTTAAGCTTTTATATATATATATATGAATGTAGAAAGAAAAAAAAACAAGAAAAAGGATAAAGAATAATAATTTGTTCCTAACATAAAAGCAAAGAAACACAGAAATTTAATGTACAGTATTGTAAAGACGATTAGAACGTTATCACTTTCACACATTATGTATATTTGCAACGTTTATTATATATACATACATATATATATTTGTAGGTTCTAATAATAATAATAATAATAATGTGTTAAACATTTATAATTCTTAATTACTTAGAAAATAATAGCAACGCTTTAACGATTGTCATATATTGAATGGTTAACGCTTATGGAATGTAGATAAAATTTAATCAAGTTTTCTATCGTCATCGTTATACATCAAAAGATTCCTCATTTAAATGAGATAAATTCTGTAAAATTTAATTAGTCCAAAAAAATTGTAAATAATATACTTTGTCTTCTAAGTATATTATAATATACTTCAGAATTTATGGTATCGGATGATAGGCAGAAAAATATTTTGTATCATTATAAAACCTTTTTTTTTCATTCACAATATTTTCGTTCGCACCTGTGGTTACCTCTTATTAAATCGGTATGATTTATTTTTAATTTTTATTTCTTTCATCCAAAAATAGGCATTTTTAAGGAAAACTAGTTTTAAGATAAATTACTATCATTATTTATATTAGATGGTTTCAAAGACATATAGTTCTTTCGTTAACATCTTATTTAAATAAAAAGGAAGTATTTATTTTTAGATTCTATTTTTTTGTCTTTTTTTTCAGTGAATGTGCCAAAGAAGAATATTAACTAAGTTTTGAATTTAATATTAAAGAATTTCCGCTTTTTCTTCATTTGTACGTATACATGTTGCATATACTCATATATGTATAAATTAATATGTTCGAAACGTAAAGATTAATAATTATTTTATTATTATCAATAATTTTTTGTTTATCCAGCAAATATTTTTTGAAATAAGACGTTTGATATCATTTTCGAATCGCATAACTAATCATCGTATTAACGATATCGTTACAACGAAAAAAAAAGAAAAAAATATTTTTATTTGGGGTTAAATAAATCGATAGAAAAAAATAATTTTTTTTTTTTACTAATACAAGTCTTCTATATATACAAAAAAAAATGTTGTACCTGTCTACTTTGATATGAAGTTCAACTATGCCTTAATGATTAATTTTGATTTAGATTACACGTTATTTCCATTGAAAATATTCATTATTAATTCTTCATATAATGTGCACGAGTGTTTCTATATAAATGAAATTATTTAGAATGAGCATAAAGCAATTCAGTACCAATACCAATATACATATAAACCAATGGAACCCAATTACAGTTTATGCTACATTTGCAGAACCATTCATTCGCCATTCCAGTATACAACGAAAATTTAGAATTTAATAGAATGTTTCATAATATATGCATTTATATATTATCATATTATTTACTAGATAATTATTTTTTTTTTTTTTTATTTAAAATAATGATTCCCTTTCGGGATACATGGGGTGCGTCGACCCGTACTAGATAATTATTATATTTCTTTCCTTCTTTAACAATTAAAGTAATTATTTTATTTTTATGGCAAAGAAAAATTTCTGGCTACAAAAATATGTTTTAATTTCTTCTAATTCGTTATAAGAAGCTAGCAATATTACAAATAATTCAATTTATATCTTGAAAGAGTATGAGAAATGCGTGATACATTAAGTTGATCGATTTCGTTATAATTATATCCCGATAATTTCTTTCTTTTATATAATAATATTATTAAATAATATTAAATATAATATATTATTACATATTATAAAATAATTTAAAATATTATTATACAATACAAATAATTTCCTTGCCTTATATTAAATGCGTATATTATTATTATTATTATTATTATTATTATTATTATTATTATTATTATTATTATTATTATTATTATTTAACATTAATCTTTAGTTTTATTTAGAGACAAATTGTTCGATCGCTAGCAAACCCAACACACGCATGGCAATACACGCAAATACATACACACGTGTATTTCTAGGAGATATTTTTAAAATCTATAAAAATAATTATACTTGTAAGTTGCGATAGTATGCAATTCTATAAAATATACACGATCGTATTCGATTTGAACATAATGTATAATAACGAGTTATGCAAAATTTATTTATAATGTAATATTTGTATAAATAAAATCTCACTGATGCCCCATAATAATTAATACTAATAATGAACTTTCGATTACATTGATTTCGTATGATAATAAATAATCAAATAAATATGCAATGATAATTTAATCGTATTTTATTAACATGGGAGAGAGAGAAAGATTGTTTCCCCTTACGATGCAACCTTAAATGCACGTCCCAGTAATCTGCGAAATAAATTTCGTAATAACCCACCAAACAAGACTCGAAGATTTGATAAGAACATTTTCAACGCGTGACGATCAATTCATAACTCAACAAAATGATTCATTTATATTTTATTAAATTCAATGCATACACAGTCTAAGTATTATAAACGTTCTCCAAAACATGGGACTCCTAAACAGGACCCTTCTTAGCAGTGAAAAAACGAAAAGATTAAAAATTAAAAAATAAAAACAAGAAGAATAAGAATAAGAATAATAAGAAGAATACGAAGAGAAGAATGTATTCTGCCAAGGTGATTACATCGCGGTTACGTAATAGTGACGGCTACTGAAAGACTTTCGCAGGAGACCGCCAAAAATGTCCTGGCCGTTAGAAGGTACCGGGCGCAAAACCGCACGCAGAAAAGAAGAGGTATTACTGGTAGCCGAGGTGGTACCGGCGATGATATTTGTGGTAGTAGTGGAGGTGGTAGTGGTGGTGGTGGTGGTGGTGGTGGTGGTGGTGATGATGATGATGCCTGGTGGTGTGTTGCTGCCGTAGATGATGATGATGATAATGATGATGATTATGATGATGGTGGTGGTGGTGGTGGATGTGGTAGTGGTGGTACTAGCACATAGCGATGGCGGTGGTAAAAGAACATGACTGCTCGATCGTGACCCAACAAAGGGTGAGGGGGAGGGAGTTACGAAGAAAAGAGTTGGAAAGAGAAAGAGAATGAAAGGAAAACAGCTTTGAACCTAGAGACAAAGAAAGATAGAAAGAGAAAGAGAAAGAGAGATGACAGCAGAGCGCAATGGCTTATGCGGGTGGAAGAAGAGTGAAAGAGGAAGGAGGTGGAGGTGGTCTACTAAGTGGTGGTAGTAGTAATACTGTTGGTGGTGGAGGTGTTGGTGGAGGTGGTAATGGTGGAGGTGGTAATGGTGAGGAGGAGGTAGGAGATGCAGCCTCCGCCAGTATCCACGTGTTCAGTGTAGTAGCGCGTTATGACCCGGATGTTAGATCGTAGCTGCAGTTTCGCGAGAACCTGCCGACCCGGATGTCCCGCTCGACGTCTACCGCTGATCAACAGCTAATGTCCTCCTGGCCACCAAAATATGTTCAATCGGTAAGTCCGATATTGATAATCTTATTATATATCTAAAATATCTTATTTTCATCCTAGAATAATATGTTCTTATCGATAGATAAGAATAATCTATGATCTATGAATCTTTATGGGTTATAGAGATCTTTGTGTTATTGCGTTTAGGGGCTTCATTGATTTTTGTTGATAATACTTGAAGGGAGGATTTTTTTTAGGAATGATTTTTACGCACGAAAGATGGATCTTTTTTTTTAAGTTTGTCTATTCGATAATGATATAAAATGACGATAAAAAAGGATCGGATAATCGACGACATTGTTAAATAAATTTAATTCTTAATTTTTGTTTCTATCCTTGCTCGTTTAGCATCACTTAAACGAAACGTGCTTAATCGGGTACTTTCGCGCGAGTTTGAATTTGAACAAATTGTAAATCAAAATACGCGTTGATAAAAAGGATGAGATTAAAAGTAGGGGAGAAGGTTATCGGTTGACGAGAGGGGGGGAGGGTAAAAATGGGAATGGTCAGTCGGTAGGTGATCGAACGTATGTTTAGTGGTAACGCATCGATGTGTGCTTGAAGGATAGATGCGAGCAAATCGACGAAAGGCGCCAGCAAACTACGAAGGGACCTGATAAATGCCGAAATCGCGAATCTACGTGATCTACTCCCGCTACCGCCCTCGACACGCCAGAGACTTTCTCAGTTGCAACTTATGGCCTTGGTCTGCGTCTTTCTGCGAAAAGCCAACTACTTTCAACAAGGTATGTTTCGGATTATAATAGGAAATTATTCCTCGTATCTCCGTCTATTCGTTTAATCTCTGTTTTTACGAAACGTGTTCCCTGTTTTCATTTTTTTTTCTTTATCAATAACATCGACGATATAGATTTGTTAAAACAAATTTTATTTTATTTTTWAAAAAAAATCACTTTGGCCATCGCAAACGCCGATTCTTTAATTCCAAAAATAAATTCATTCGTATGTGTATACGTTAATAATAAATACATAAATAAAATCTAAATAATGAATATTAGCAAATGAAATTCGATATAAAAGAAAGAACGTTAATATATATGACAGAAGATAAAAAATGAAGCGAGAAAACAGGGTTTCCATCTAGCCGAGTCTTCGTCGCTCGACGAAGACTTTAATGCCGGCAAATGGACAACTACTTAAAGTAAGTACGCGTTGTGTACATACTAACTGCGCTTGCTGTTACAAACCGGAAGGGACACAAGATTGTACATAGTAGAAGGAAAGTTTTTGCTTTAAAAAAAGATGAAAAAATCAAACCAAAATAAATAAAAATGAAAATTAAAAATTAACAAACATAAATGGCGAACCGTATTGTGTTTTCTTTCGGCGTATTACACCTGAGAAAAAAAAGAAAAACATTCAAAGCCCGAGTTCGCCGACGTTAAACGGCTTGGTGTAACGATGCACGTAAAAGCGATCACGTAGGGTATACGTGGGAGTCTTTGGATGGAGTAACGGTGATTGCAATATCGCAGAGGTATTACAAGAAAGTCGTCGATATGCGATCCTCGTTTACGGGATTTCTGTTAACTCGAATTCTAACTTTCGTCCGACGAATTAATATCCTACATGATTTATTTTCATTTACTTTATCTTCTTTTTTTCCCCTTTTTTTTTATCTTTTTTTCAGAGCACGAAGATAAAAAAAGTGTCATCCGTGTAAAATTTGTTTAATCGATTGTTATCGGGAAACGTATTTAGGAATATTAAACGACGATGATGACGATGACGACGACGAACTTCCGTTTGAGTCTGTCTCCTTCCTGCTACCCCTCTGATTTTATTCTTCTTTCTTTATTTTTTTCTATTCTTATTTTATCAGATATTTTATTCAAACATGGTTATGCAAAATGCGATTAAATTTTCTTTTCTAAATACAATTCATATTCGAATATCGAGAAAAAAAACAACATTTGAAAATAGAAAGACGCGATTGTGCGTGTGTGTTCGACAATTGCCGTAGTTAACAAATTTGTCGGTTGAGAACTCTCGTGTGAAATTTAATGATGTCCGTATTGTTTTTAGGTGATTGGGGAGGAACATATGCATAACCATGTATGAAAGACGAGGGGTCGCAAGGGAGGAAGGGAGATTACTCGATAAACGGACCAAAAATACCCCACTTAGCGTCGTCGTATTTCGCTTATGGTAAATTCTTTTATCAATATCTTTCTCTATCACGAAATGCAACAAACAAATGAATGAGCAACTGGAAGTAACAATTAATTATCGAAAAACCTTTGAATTTATTTTTGGTTCTCTTCTTATCGATTCAAAATCATTTGTACAATTTAAAATAATCGTTTAGGTAGAAACAAGTGAACGAACGAACGAACAAACGAACGAAAACATTTAGTTTTATGATTTTCAAGCAGAGCCTTCGCCGACGTTTTTATCTTGAAAAGTATGACAAAATATTTATGAACTTGTAATCAAATCGCGCTAACGCGAAAATAACTCCTCCGTAAAATATTATTTGCAACGTGTGTGTGTGTATATATTATCTCTTATTCTGTTAGGACGATGGTTAACACGACGACGTAGTTGGACGTTTCTAAAATAAATTACTTAACTACTACTTTCTCTCGGTAGTCTCGTAATAAAAAAGAAGATCTCTTATTGAGAGCTGTATCGGTCTCCGAACTGAACGCGATTGCTGTCTTTCATAGTTTTCCAAGAGGAAACAAATGATAATACAAATTTAATGAAATTAAACCAACGTCTGTTATAAAACAAGAAACCCCCCTTATTAACTGAAAAGAAAAAGTTAAGAAAACGTTAAAATCCCGTGTAATTTCATCGTAATATAAAATACGTATCGAAATTATTTTTGTCTCCAAGAACATTATTAATAATTCGTATTAGAAATGAAAGTGGAAGAAGAGGAAAAAGAAAAAGAAAAAGAAAAAGAAGAAGAAGAAGTAGAAGATAGATCCTTCTTGTCGTTGTCGTCATCGTCATCGAAGTTACTTGCTTTACTTGCTTTCTTACTTGCTTGCTTGCTTGCTTGCTTGCTTGCTTGCTTGCTTACTTACACTTGGTCGGAGTGAAATCGTCGGGTTTTAAATACCCGTTGATTTATATTTCCGATAAACACACCATGTCGAGACGAGAGCTCTTGAGGAGTATCTAGCGTACGATATCCCCGCCATATAGTTCGCGCCCGTTTACTTCTCTTAACATTCGATGCAATATCATCGGTGTGTATTAGAAGTCTTGAAGTTTTAAGGTACGCCGTCTAGCTAGCTAGCTAGCTAGCTAGTTCGCTTGCTCGCGTAAAGGTAGGTAATGTCGAGAAAGACAGAAAGAAAGAGAGAGAGAGAGAAAGAAAGAGAGAAAGAGAGAGAGAGAGAGAGAGAGAGAGAGAGGGACGCGAAGGTACAAGGCAAGAAGGCAAGATCGGCGCGCGTTCAAACTCCGTAGAGTCTAAGCGCGAGTTCCGGGTGATCCGCTGACCTCTCGGCCTTTGCAACAACACTCTCACGCTCCTGTAACCCATACTCCCCCTATATCCTCTCCTCTCTCTCTAGTTCGCTGTTTCTTTCCTTCTTCGCCGAAGCTCCGTTTCCCTTGCTCTATCTTCTCCCTCCCAACCCTTCCCTCCCTACCTCCCTTACTCCCCCCACCTCCTTCCTACCTACCCTCTCTCTCTATCTCTCTTTTACTGATTCCTTTTCCTCCATCTTTCGTCTTCTTCTTCCTTTAGCTTTGTCTTTCTATCCTTCTCTTTCTGTTTTCTTCTTCTTCTTTTCTATCTTTCTTCGTCTTTCCTTCTGATTATTCGCCCACCTCTCCGTACTCTCCGTTTCTCTTCTTTCCAACCAACCAACCAACCACCCATCCACCCACCCTTTCTCCCCCTTATCGAATACTATAGTCCGTGGTAGCGGACCTCGCAAGCGTAGCCACGTTGCATTAGCATAATCATTTTTTTATTCCACCGTCTTTTCTTTCCTTTCTTCCTTCCTTGCCTCTTCTCTTATGTTTTTACCTTTCTTTTTCTTTTTCTTTTTCTTCTTCTTATTCTACTTCTACTTCTACTTATACTTCTACTTCTTCTTACTACTATTACTACTTATTCTTCATCATTGTCTGTCGTCTTGTCCTTTATTCCTTCTCACGATATCGAACTCAAATTTCTATCTTGATTTGTGTGATTTTCTTGTTTCTAAAAATTTGTGTTAAGTTCACGAATCATCATTGTTTTATTTTCTTCGTTATAATTTGTTTAAAATTGCATGAAAATGTTTTAGTATAATATTTTCTTCTTCTTCTTATTTTTTATTCTTCTATTTTTATCAATATATTCAATTCGAATTTTAAAAATATTTCGTTTGTATTCCACATTTTTGATTTGAATTATTGAAAATTCGTTTAATTTCGTAAACCATTTTTCATTTTGTTCTTTCATTATTCTATTAATTTCTTTATGAATTTGTTTAAAAGTCGCACATAAACGGAAAGATACGATTGTCGATTTTTTTTACGATCCACGTTTTCGAGGTGTTGTTTATCAAGTTTGATAAGAGCAAACATTAGAAAGAAGAACACGTAAATGATAATCAAATATAGCCACACCGTTTCCCATCGCCATAAAAATGTTCACTGTCGCGTGCGCGTTCTTTCCAATGTCTATATATCGTGTAGATAGGATTATTTTTTTTCTCTATTGCTTTTTTCTTTCTTTCTAATCGTCAATCGTATTTTTGTTTCAGCCCTGAAAAATTGTCCGTCGGAATCATCGAACATGCCAACCCCAAACATCGGATTTTCCAAAGTATTTAGATTTCTTTCTTTTTTATCGCGATATATTAACGATTAACAGTCATTGTAACGGAGCGGGAACAAACTTTTTACAAGTGCATACAATTCTTTCAGGCTATGTCCGGATTTATCATGATGATGACGCAACAAGGAAAATTATTGTACATATCGGAAAATGCTGCGGAATACCTCGGGCATTCGATGGTAATCACGATCCGTATATTTTCCATAGGATACACGCGTCTAACTCTGACGTTAATTTTAACATCTATTTTTAAAGATCGTCTGTATAAATTTTTATCATCATCCATTCTCTTATATTCAATTTTTCATCATAAAACGCGCAGGTTGCAAATTATTCGAAACTTTTGTTGGTTTAATATTGATACTAAGCGTAATAAAGWTTTTTTTTTTTTATTCAAACTTATCAATAAGTTTGTTTCATCATTATTTATATTTTTATTTATAATTTGTTAATACAAAATTTCATGTATCCTAAAACATACATTCCATCTTTTAATCTGCAATAAAAATAACGATTATGAATCCTTTAGGAGGATTTGTTAATCCATGGGGATAGCGTTTACGACGTGATAGATAAACAGGACCACATGATAGTTCAAAATCAATTGGCAAGAAATAGTCCAGCACCGAATGACAGAAGATTATTCCTTTGTCGGATAAACGTGTCAAGAAATTCTCGAAGGCAGCTTCGGTTTGGCGATCAAAAGGTTAAAGTTCGTGGGAATTTTATCGCGACAAAAAATATTATGACGCGAGACAATGTTATACGATTAAAAACGCCACGATTTTTTATAGGTCGTCTTAGTGGAAGGTCATTTCTTACCTTTCGTTCCTGTTTGCAATCGTAATGAATTCGTTTTTTTGGCATCTTGTACTCCGGTTGTTTTACCGGAAACACGAGAAAGTATCGTTCAAGGAGCCACGAATATTTTCACTACGATTCACTCGATGGACATGAAGTACCTGCACATTGATAAAACGTAAAATATTTTTCTACATTAACACGTATGTTAAACATATTAAATTACAAATCAAATTACAAATAGATATTTGTATAGAGCGGAAAGTCATATGGAGTATAACCGTTCGGAGCTCGTTGGTGTTTCGTGGTACAATCTTTTGCATTGGGATTCGATACGAACGGCTTATTGCAAACATCAGACAGGTACTACATTTGTTCTATTCCATGAAATATATTATTTTTTTTCTTTTATTTATAAAAGTAATAAATTAAACGTTTATTGTTTCAGTTATACAATCGGATCAAGAAAGATCGAGTACAGCTTTGTTGAGGCTACAAAGTCGTTCCGGAAGATGGTTCTGGGTTCATTGCGTTCTCCAAGTAAAGGAAACGTCGGAGGAGTGTCAGCATCCAATAATCGTGTGCACCAATCAAGTATTAAGGTATGTTATTTCTAAGTTATTATACGAATATGATCATTCCAGGATTTGTTTTTATATTATTTTAGCGATAGAGAAGCCGAAGTGATGAGATCGAGTTCATGGTTGTATCAATATTCGTCTCAAGCAAAATTCACTTATGGTATATGTTCAACTGGACAGACACGTGGCGTGGCATACACGATTGGTGCACAAAGTACTGGTTCACAGCAACAACAGGAATACGTACGTTCATCGTCATTGGGACACAGTAGCGATGCCGAACAGTCACCATCGATTTGCAACTTGGATCAAGAATCTCATAGATCTACAAAAACAGAACCAGTGGATTATCCTAGCAGGTTACCTTGGGACGATGTAGAACCGGTCGACATGTCTATCGGTAGTGCCCAAGAACATGACAACAGGAGTTTACAGTTTCACTCGCAACATGGCAATCCCCATCATCATCATCACCATCATCATCATCATCCTCCTCATCCTCCTCCTCAGGGACTTGGACAATTCTCCGGTAGATACCATAAGTCGCATCAAAAAAGTTCCTTACATTTGGCTGGATACAGAGGGAAATTTGTGCAGTATCACGGCCAGTTTAGCAGCGGGACGGACACTACGAAATATTACATCACCGATCTGGACAAGGAATACGGATGTACCGGTGATCAGCGGTGGGTAAACGATGTTCTATCTTTCATTAGTGAGCAAATTCGTACGGTTGACGGTCAATCAGGTTTGATGTGATACTCCTTCCTGACGCGAACAGGAGTACCGTCCACAAACGACTCCCTACGAAAGTTTTACCATCAGCGATAACAGTTGGCTCGAGCCCTAACGAGCCAGTCGAGTCCTCGACCGAACATTGGAGTTCCAGTCCAGCATGGTCCGACGCCTTGCAGAGGGTCCCTGACGTGGTTCATCAGGAGCTCAGTCCATATATCACCACACCGACGACTCCTGCAGACACACCAGATTCCGATTTACATTCCGAGGCACCCATTTTCAATTTCGACTGGGCTGGAGAACAACACGTACCCAATTTGAAGATAACATTTCGTAGCTCCAATCACGAGCCAAAAGATGTTCAAGACGTCCAACCTATAACTCTACAATTACCCCGTAGAAAGGGCCATTCCGGTGACGAGTCTAAGGACTTTGCCAAGTGAATGTCCGTTTCTTTTAGTTAGACCAATCTCTCTTTAATTTAACAACTTTCGCGTTCTCTGATATCTTCTTGTTCTTTATTTTATTTTATTTTTTTTCTTTCTCCTATACAATCGTAGCTCATAAATTTAACGGTGCTGTGGATAACCGAGTATTTACGTTGACCTAATTGTTGTCGACAATTAATCTAATCGGTGAAGTATTGATCTGTGCCTTTTAGATTTTAATAATATAGTTCTTTTAGTAATCCCCAGACCCTTTGCTTGTTATATAATTCCTATACGAATGATACGTACAAGTAAAGGTAATCTGTCCAATTTAGGGCTAACTTTTTAAATAGAAATATTAATGTAGGGATACGCAGCGTGCATATGTAAGAAGTAGACTTTTAAATACGATGAAGGACAAACTATCCGAATTTTTGCGTGAAAAAAGGGTGCACGATAAATCAACGATTAGAATGACAATATTTTCGTATATATTAAAATGACATGAGATATAAATAATAAAAATGAATGTATATCGTTGCATATAGTTACCTTTTATCACGAAAAATAATATGGCGACGACGATGACGACACAACAAAAACAACAAATGGTAAAAATATTATCTTATTTTTTTTTCTTCTTTTTTTTGTTGTTGTACAGCGATTTTACGCGAAAGTATCAGCATAAAACAATAATAGATTTTTACGTGTAATTTTGTAGGATAAATTTGTCGCAAACTCGTATTGCGAATATTTTTTATGTAGACGTTCCTGAGCACCCAATGTATAAACGTACAATTTCTAATTAATAATGTTCGCGCATAATAGTATCCTTTCATTTTCTCTCTTTTTCTCTTTCTCTTTCTCTCTTTCTCATATCAAGAATTTTCTATTATTAATTAATTAGCATTGAATGAAAAAACAATGACGCTTCAAAATGGCGTCTCAATAAAAAAAAACGCATAATTATTTTAATTCTATTTGTTACGAGTTTTTCCGGTTATAATTAGGCGAGAGTAAGCATTTATTATTAAAATCTCCTTTGATTTCATTAAATTTATCTTTTTATCGAAAAAAGAAAAAAATTAAAGATGAATAATATTTATTAAATTTTATTATTATTTAATTTTATTCGTAGTTCCTATTTTATAAATAATTAATAACAACAGTTGAATTATAGTAAAAGAAATAAAATTTAATTTTCGTATATTTGATTGATATCTCAAATATTTCGTAATCAACTGTCGCATAAGATCGTAAGAAGATTGTCGAGAAATATTTTTATACTACTTGTCCTACATTTTTCTTTTTTTATTATTATTATTAACATCCAATAAGCTTACTATCGCCTATATTTTATTGTCAGTGCCATTTCGCTATTAGAAAATTTCTCTCTCTCTCTCTCTATCTCTCTTTCTATTTTTTTGTTTTAAACGGTGTTCTGTCCTTTTAAATCACCGTTTCTTTTTAGTTTAATATTTTTGTCGCCCCCCCCCCCCTAGAAACAAACGTAGGCTTCAACATTTGCGAATTTCTTCGACGATCCTAATTAAAAAAAAAAACGTCGTGTAACGCAGTTATCTGTAAAAGAAAGAAACGCTTAAGATTGTTTCTTTTTTTTCTTTTCCTTTCTTTTTATAATTATTTAAAAATTCTTATTATTACAAAAAGAAATTTGCAAACAGTTTCGCATCGTTTACTCAACGATCGAGGGTATATATAAAATATACACGACCGAAGAATGAGATTGATTCTTTTAATAAATAAAAAAAAAAAAAAGTTAAATTCGTGTGCAGAGGAAATGATATGCCTTGGAACTTCGTACAATATTTGTATATTAAAGTTTATTCATGTATTAGTTTCTATTTTTATATTTCCTTAAATCCTCAATCCAATCAACCCTTCATTCTTAAAATCGAATTTACAATTGAAGAAAATATTCGTCAAAATTGACAACAATTGTTAGTCAAGATGTCAGAGATTACCAAAAATAGAAATTTGGAAATTGAAGGTTTTCGAAGATTTGAATTAATGCATAAAATGAATCTTTGTATAAACATAAAAAAAAAGTTAAAACAATTGGATCTATTGTTCGTTTAGGGCTGAAAATATTTTTTTTTCTTTCTTTTTTTGTTGCCTATAATTGATCGTAGGAAACAACATCTTGATTTATAAGATTTTGTTAGAAAAATCTTTATTTGAATTTTCAGACAAGTGTTAAATTTTTTTTTATCGCAAGGACAAGGAACTTCATAACCCTTGCTATTATTTAAACGAGCCATCTGCGTTTAAAGTCGAGTAATATGTGATGGATAGGTGTGTGTGTGTGTGAAATGTTTTATTACTTTTTTGTTTTTTCTACATGTTTCTTCTTCGTTCTCTCTCGAGCTCGAAATAAACAAATTTTGTTGTTGTGAAGACGAAATTAACGGCAATTGGGGAGGGGAAACACATGAAAATTATTAAATTAAAGAAAAAGGATAAGTATCGATTTCCTTTTCCCCATTTCTTTACGAAATTGTTTACAAATATGTCGTGAAACGAGTTTTGTAAAAATTTATTTTATTTTACACGTATTATCTCTTATTATTGATATATTTTTACCGTCCTGATTTTTAATCAGCTTTTTTATTTTCTGGAGAAAAAGAAATGCGATTATTTTCGTTAGGATAAATTTAATAAAAAACAAAAAAAGCAAAAAAAAAATGAGTGATTTTTAAAAAAGATGCAGCGTCCGGCTATATGAAAAACTTTTTTAATCATTTTTCGTACCACACGAGTGAACATAAAACAAGAAAGAAAAAATTAAATATGAACAATATTTTGTAATACTTTAGCGATTGGAAATTATTTTTGAAATAAATCATTAATCATAAAGAAATAACAAAGAATCGAATCATATTAATTAGTATTGTTTATCATATTATCGAATCATTTGTTGAAATTTGTTAGCTGGACGTTGTGTGGAAAAACTTAAAGAAAATTTGCAGAAAGAAATAAGATTAAATAAATGTCCTTTGTTTTTTTTTGTTTTCAATCCTTTTCTTTTTTCTTCCTTTTTTTTCTCATCTTCTTTTTTTTTTTCATTTTATCGACATGAATATAGAAACAATGGGAAGTTAGAGTCACAGACAATAGAGTATATTCTTCCACGATTTTCTAAATGTTTATCGCGCTATACAATTCTACTCGCTCGTTGCATCTTTGGCACCTTATATACTCTCGACTCATATTCTTCGTTAATATAAAACACGTATATAAACATAGATTGAGTACATCGGTGTTTACAATTATCTACGTTTAAAAAAAGTCGTACATTATACATGTTTGTTCTTATTATTTTTTWTTTTTATTTTTTATTCTTCTTCTTTTATCTTCATCTTTACCGACTTCGTCTATTATTTTTTTCTTTTCTTTTTACCTCTCTCTTTCTCTCTCAATAAGAAGGTATATGTACGCTTATTACACAAAAAACGTGCATACGCGACTACCAAATCCATGCACGACGAGTATGCGTGTTTAAGAAACACCGTTTCATCGTCCTCTTACTTTTTAAAACTTTATCATCGTTCTAGAAATTTCATTTTTGTGCGTGACACGTGTGTGTTCTCTTGGCAAACATTTAAATTGTTTTTAATTCTCATTTCGAACGAAAATTATTTTACCTCCCCTCTCGTTCCCTCCCTCCCCCTCCCTCCTACCTCATACACACGGAACTAACATTTTGTTCACCACGAGTGTGCAGTGTTGTAGCGTACGTAATACGTAAGTAATATAATACATAGATTTGTTCTCGCACTATCATCATTATATCATTCTCCTCCTCTTCCTCCTCTTCTCTTTCTCATTTTTATTAATACATAATAATAAGTGTTACGCTTTTATGCGCTTTTATTCGGGGTAGTACTTTAAAAAACGGTACGTACAATGTATTTTAAAAAAGATGCCCCTATTTGTTCTCTTTTTTTTTTTTTACTTAATTACTTTTTTCTTTAAAAATAACCAACAAAGAAAAAAGAAACATTAAACAAAATGTCTTCTCGCTTTATTCTTCACCTAACTTTTTTTTTTGGTTTCGGTGGCTTAATGCGTATCGGAGTTAATAATTACACTTGGCGGACAGAGTGCACACGTTTTGTGCACATACAATGGAGTTACAGGAGTATTCGTACTCATACTGTAAATTTATGTATAACAATGAATATTTTTTTTTGAAATATTGATATTACAATTTGATTGTGAAAGAATATTTTATTATAAGAAAAGTATAATTTAACGTAAATGATAAATGGTCTCACAAGAGTATGGCAAATCGTTTGAAAAGCATCAGAAGATACAAAAGAGGATCAACTGAGTATTATTTAGAAAAATAATTATTATATTTTTATTATATCTTACGTAGATGCAAATACTTTTAGAAGTTAGACCAATTTTTTTTATCATTTAAGTAAAATTATATATTTTTTTTTGTAACAATAACACGCGTTCTTTCGAAATCAAATTGATTATCAATTTAAAATTTGAATAATCCTAAAATAAATTCATGTAAAAAATGATTGTTTAAAAACTGCATTATAAACAATATAAATTATTTTTAAATTGACAGTGAAATGACGGAGTACGAGTAATATTCCTGTGATTTACTTTATGTATCGATAATTACGACAATATAAACAAAAATTGCAAAAAATTGCATTAACATTTAATATCATTATAATATATTTTATGTTAAAATTATTTATATCGTATATAAAAAAACAAACATGAATAAAACACAAAATGTATAATTTGTTCATTTAGTTCATTGTCATAATTACCAATATAATTATGTACTAGTTTAACATAAGTACGTATGTATGCGTATATGTATGCATGTATGCAAATATTCATGTAAATATCTCCACGTAATGTACGTAAAATGTATGTGTGCGGACTCTCGTTACGAAATAGAGCAGTGCCAGTGGAGGCAGTCGACTTTTGACACACTTCTATGCTTTTTTTCGTATTATGCTCGCAAAGAATGGACGGGGTCACCGGTCCGTTCAAGATGACTCATAGACGGGTCTAGAAAGGATAGCTTGTTTTATACAACACGTTTCTCCTTCCTTCCTTCCTTCCTTCCTTTCTTTCTTCTACTTACTATACCTTATAATAATACTTTGCTCTCTCTCTCTCTCTCTCTCTCTTTCTCTCTAAGTAGTTTCAGTTTCTTTCGACGATTATTATTTCTTCTAGACACTTTCATAAATCATCCTTAAACGAGTTCAAGTGAGTGATGATACACATAGAATATTTATACAGACACACACACATACAACACACATACAGATACACGATTATCAGGTTAGTCAATTGATTTTCTTTCGGCCTTTTTTTTCCTTCCTTTTTTCTATCATCATTCGTATGCTTGAATATTCGATTTGTTTCATTGATTTTGTTGATAATTTATTTTTAAAAAACACAATCTATCGTATCTTTTTTTAATTATAGAAACGAAGACAGAAATACGTAATCAAATATTCGAATAATCGTCGAACGATGTAACACCGCCGTCCGTAATTGTTTGACAAAATGGTATATCATTCGAATTAATTTTTTTTTTTAACTAAAATAGGAAAATTCATTTGTTTAAGAAAACAACGTTCGAACAACGTGTATATACGCATACTCGGACTAAACGAATAAACAAACACACTCGAGCGCACGCGTGCGCGCACACACACACACACATATACACATATACGTAAAAATTAAGGATGCTTTGCGGATAAAAAATTTCGTGAAGTTTCGAAGAAGACGTTAGATATTTATGAACAATAAATTTTCGTGAACTGTTATACTCCTTTCCTTGAAAAAAAAAAATAAAAAAAAAGGGAATTAAAAAATTATTATTACAAGCAGATAAAAAAAAAATAATGAATAAAAAAGAATAGAAAAAATAAAATAAAATAAAATATAAAAAGAAGAAGAAAAGTAATGGGGGGGGGGGTGTAGGAGAGGGGCCTATTTCAAAGTCACTCGACATACTTTTCAAGAGAGTTTTGCAGATTCAATTCCATTG